TACCTGGCTTCGTTAAAGTTCTCAGGAAGTGTTCTGGCTTTGAAGGCGTAGTATGTACAAGGCACTGCAAGAAGAGACGTGTACACACATATGGCGATTTGAAAACTCATTCCAACTGACGATTGATACAAAGAACACGAGAGAAGAATTGAACCTTCACTTGTCTGTATCATCCGTTGTTGGTGTGGCGAGTCAAAGATAATCCATAACAAAGAGAATACAGCTGGTGGAAAGATTAGCACTAAAACGATAAACGTTTGCCTCTTTGTCGCAAGAATAAATGTTTTGAATCTCTCGGCCATGACGTTTATTTGGAATGCACTGAGTATCTTCATGGTCTTAATTATCAGTATGGAGAAGATTGTTACAAGAATCATGGGCCTCCAGCAGTGAAGAAAACTGCACATAAAGCTGGTAGGCTTGCTGAGGGATAAAATGGAGGAAGAAAAGGACATTGCGATTGTCAAAAGAAGGATAGAACTTAACTCGCGATTGGCTGCTTTGACAAGGGGAGTGTTCCGAAGTTTAAAAAGAATGAAACTGCAAATGGCAAGGAGAAGGAGTCCAACTGTTGCAAACAATATGATAAGTACAGACGCGGGGCTTGACCATATGACTTCAACTTCAGGAAGATCCAAGCATTTTGACCTCTGTTCATTGGGCTTTTGTCCTCGGGGACACACGGTGCAGTTCATATCATTAACTCTAGTGCTAACAGCTCCATCCGGACATTTTTGGCAAGTCCAACAGCACGAGGTCGTTGGTAACCGATATTCACCAGCAAGGCAATCTCTATTGCAGAATGACTTAGGAATAATTTTGTAACCTGCTGCAGTATTCCACTTTATGTCGGAAACCTTTAACTGAATTTCCTCACGACTTTCATTCCATGATCCGATGACTAATCTTATCAAATCAGATTTTTCCTTTCCCTGAAAATGAACGATATCGTAAGACGATATTTTAGGGTCTCCTAGCTGATCAAATTCGATTTCCCCAGTTACTCCTTTGAATGTGACTTGGCGAAGATGCTTCTCGAGTTCCTTTGGATCGACAGTAGTATGGATTTTATTTATGTTGTGAATAGCATGGGCAAGAGCAAAAACGGCATCTACCAAATAGGGAATGTAGCTGTTGTATACCGAACGAATAACTGTTTCATTGGTAGATGAATGACCTTTTTGTTTCCAAAATTCCTTCCACCAAGGAGCTGAGGTACTTTCCTCTTTCAAGGATACGATGGATTCGTCGATCAAGAAATCTTGGAAATGTCGAACATCAAAATGTTGAAGTTCAATACCAAGTGACCCATGGACAACTCCTCTATGATCGTCTTCCATTTTCATAAACTCCTCCCTTCCAGCTGTCAAACTATCGCTGAAAATCCAGGTGCGGTCGAACATTTTCTGTTTTGCAGCCTCCTCCAAAAATCGCCTTCCGTATCCTCTCAACAGCCAGAGCACCACAACACGAACATTTGGGTGGCGTCGAAGCTTGTCCACGGCTCTTGCTAGCTTTGCTATATACTTTTCTCTCGGTATGTAATCTGCGAAAGAAAGACAAAATGTTTGCCTTCTGGCTGCCTCAGCTTCCAAGCTCCGGACCCCATTTCGACCGTAAGAATCGTCCATTGCCACAGCAGCCACATAGCTCCAATGGAAATACTCTACTATATCAGCCATTGCTCTTGCCTGCTTTCTATCGGGAGGAGCAGTGCGAAAAAAGTAACTGTACTGCGAAGAGCTCAACTCATCGCTTGTCGCCGAGTGACTGATAACTGGGATTTCAGCCACTTGCAAAAGGCTTCCCACAAGGATCGCAGCCCCTGAATCGGTTGGACCAATCACAGCTGTTATCGGCGTTGGTTGTTTCTGTACTGAGTTATCCTTAATTGTGCTAACGACTTTACTGCCGTTTTGGAATTCTGACGCCAATTCATTTTTTCGGACAAAGTCGTACGTGTGTTTCATTGCCTTTACAGTGCTTCTACAGTAGTCGCGAATGTCATATCCTAGAGTCAAGTTTTGAAGCAGTTGTGGGTTCCTATTGATTGTGTCGATGGCGAACTTCATAGCTTCCACATGGCCAAGTCCTGTTGGGGAAAAATCACCGCATTCGCCATCATCATTAGTGTGATGTAATGTAATCAGAGCCCCAAGTGTGATATCACCAAGCTGGTGATAACGGTCCTTGTTTGTCGACCCTGACGACGTCAGAAAACCACAAGACACCACCACCGCAAGTAACACGCAATTGTTTACGCACATTTCTTAGAACGTTCTTAGAACGAAAGATCATGCTAGATTATTTTCTCCTCGTTTGATACTGCGTTAAGTACTGATATAGGCATCGCAAGCCGAGAAATCGAATTTGACGGAGTATCGATAATAGCATACAAGTAGTCCTTAATTTGGGCTCACCAGTGGTTGTGTCAAGTAGAAAATATTTCTTAAAAGGAATCGAGCGAAAAAAGTCTGCTTTCGGTCTTGAAGTGATCCGATAAATCGAGTCTCAAGGGAAAAAATTGACAAATTACACGTATTTCTAATATTGTATCTGGACACCTGTTTGCGAAACAGAGATCATTTGAATTTTTGAGCGTTGCAAAGAAAAAAATCATTCTCGTTTAATTTTTTAGTGTAACCAAAAATATGAAAAAAACACGTACAGAGGAATCAGAGACAAATTATTAGACGAATATTTTGTCAAGATGATTAATATCCGGCTCTCTTTAATAAAATTCTCTGCTTCAGTGGTCTAACTCACTCTTTTAATTGGTGTCGGCTAAAATAATCTGTGCTATAGCTTGATGCATAAAGCTCGTCATTCTTTTGTGATAAATTGATTAGTTCCTGAGAAGTTCGTAAAACATTTCAAGGGAAGACTACAAGAAACTTGTATTCCTTCCTCACAGTTTGGTCTACCTTTCACACCAACTTGGCATTTCTGTCACCTAAATCGGAATTCTCTGCCCGATCTCCAAGGAGACCCTGAGTAAAAACGAAATTTTAAGTTCAGTTAGGTAGAATGGTGTTTACGTCCAAGAACAAGCATTTTAAAAACGCCATTGTCGATGGGTTATTCATTAAGCTATAGCACAGATCAGTGGGTTTCCTCTAGTTAAGATGACAGTAAATTATTAAAAACAGCGAAAAGGGGAATAAACGCTTTGAAATGAATTCTGTAATCATATGTATTAAGCTTGCGACACATTTGAGAAAGAACAGGTGTAAAGCACCGAAAGCAAGACTCGCACACTTTTCGGCATTTTAAAGCTATGGTTGCCGGTTAAACGCCCATGGTTGTTAAACGCACATATGGTTGTTGAACGCACATGGTTGTTAAACGCACATGAGGTTTTAACAATGGAATATCATCTATTTTCTGGTTTCCTCAACAACTGCATTTTTCTTATCATACTGAACATTGTCTTAGGCTGAATGAATTTAGCATTTGTGTTGGCTGTTTTGACATGCATTTCACTAGTTTGTTATTGATTCAAAGCTAGACGACAGGCTTAAAAATTTTTTTGAATGAATCCTTACTCCGCATTATTTTCATGCGAGTAAGAATTATCTTAAGAACCCTATTTAATCTGAAAATGGTAGGTCTACCTTACAAGAGCAGCATGTAGTCGTGTCACATGTTTCAGCTAAATTTCAGTCGAAAAACGTTCTTTCTCTAATGCAGTCCGACTTAAATGGAACAGAAGGAAAATGTTTCTAAAAACAGTAGGTCTCGACAACTCCTACATCTCAGATCTCGAAAATTAACAACTTGTTTCTTACCTTTAACTTCCAATATTTGTTTTCCGTTCGTTGAAGTGTTCTTGATTTCATGTACAGGTGAAGACACAATGTGAATGAATAAAAACAGACTTGCTTCTTCCGTATTTCTTACAGTAGCTAGCAATTTACATCACGAACAGATAGGAACGGCGGCATTTGGATGATTTTTGACAGTTGCCTTTGAAGAAGTAAGATATAATCTTACAACATCCTCCGTATGACCGATTTAAAGAGGAAACCACCCATTGTGGAAAACTTCATTACGTATAGAGTTTAAGTTGTCATAAATGAGTTTTTCATGTTGACATTGTTTTTACATGGCATGTCGATCATGTCACTTCTTGATATGGCGATCAATTTCCGCTGTGATATATTTTCGAATATACCATCGAATTCTGTCGCCATTTCTGAAAAGGATCTTTTTTGTAAATGTGTGTCAAACCAGTTTAAGCCATCAAAATTAAAAGGGTTTAAAATATCCATCGATGAATCTAAGATCGTTCAAAGAAGGGCATGTGAATACTTAGTACTTATCCATTTAAAAGTGTTATTATGAACTTCTTAGGCGTTCAATTCTTCTACGCGGGTATGTATAGTTATTCTCTTCCATAGCTAGAGCGCATTTTGATCGAGTGTGGTAAAATGAACAAAAGTCGGCGCAACATCCAATCATAACCAAGGAAATATCGCAAGGAGCATGAGAGCATTAAGGAAACCAAGTAAACTACTGAAGCGCAGGAAATCGCTAGCAACTAGGTGGCGATTGGTTTTAGTTTGAGATTTGATTGGCTGAGGATGTGGAGCGAATTTTTCTGGACCAATCACATATAGAGCAAAATGAAGTAATCCCGGATTCAGCAAAACCGACACTTAATTCAAAATCTCCCGATCCTTCCTTGTTCCTATTTTTAGCTTATTCTTTATCGTAGTTGTATTCAAGTAAGGGCAAACCATTTTTTTTTTAAGTTTTACTCAATATTTAAGAAATACTGAAACCGCCAGACATGTTGCCGCTTAACTTTTCTGGGTTCGTCACCCCTTGACTAAGATGGTTCAAAGTTTTTTCTTAAAATTATTTCGTCCTTACAGTCTGGTACATGCTTTGCGCCTTTCGAATGATTGTTGCCTATCGGAGTATGCCAACGGTTGACTTTATAGAAAATCATATCAATCGTGTGGAGAGATCGTCCAAGTAACTGAAGACCTTAAAAAGCCTATTGTCGGAGATATACACTAACTTTTTGAAAAACGTGGCCGAAGACATCATTAAGAGTCAACTAATGATGACTTATCGCCGAGGTTCTCCGCATATCAGCCACTGTAACCGACAACAAGTCTTTTTCAGTTCCACACTTACTTGGACGATCACAAACATTGATTAAGAATTTTTTTATTGTCTTGTCCAACGAACCGCTCATCTTAAACTGACGTTCGCGCCCAAGTCAATCCGAAGGATCTTTAATGAGACTCTATCGGACCCTTGTAATCTTGTCTTCGTTTGCATTTATCCGTGTCCTTTGATGGGTTTCCCGTGTTTCTTTAAAGTTATTGTATTATGTTGTTTTAAGTTTACATAGATACATTTTGACTATTTTGTGACCACCCCAAGTTTACCTGCTCAAGTAGCTATTTTCGAGAAGGAACTTAAGTCAGTGGTTCGCACGGGTAATATTCTCCTGTTATGAATTAGTGTGAAATTCCAATTTTATTTCCATTACGATTACATTGTTACATCTTTTTGAAAATCTCATTCTTTTGCGCTTTCAATGACCGTAGCGTTTTGCATATAATTAAGCTCTGTCACACCCTAAAAGCTCAGAATGCAGATGATTCCTGGCATTTCACCGGTGCCTTTTTCGGACAATATTGAAGATCGCAGGATACTTCTTTAGGTAGTTACTTGAGTTGTCGAGGAAAATTCCAGCTGCATGTTTTGTTTGTTGCATGATGCATCTGACTTCGCAGGTGCAACAGCAACTTTGCCCTTTCGAAAAAGTCCGAATGAGTAGTGTAGCACTTGTGAACTTACAGCATGATGTGTATTTTGCTCAGGGGTGATTAGAATTGCGTAAATCTTTGGCCCGAACATGCAGGTTAATAGTCCATAAGAAGCCACAAGTATCAATGCACATGTCAAGTTTGTCGCGTAGGCACCTTTAAGTCCGATGTCAATTGGCAAATATGCCCCTGACGAAAGGAGTAAAATGTACATGGAAAATCCAATATATCTCGCTTCGTTAAAGTTTTCAGGAAGTGTTCTTGCTTTGAAGGCGTAGTATGTACAAGCCAATGCAAGAAGGGACGTATATACAGAGATGACGACTTGAAAACTCATTCCAACGGCTGACTGATGCAAGGAACACGTGGAGAGAGAGGTACCTTCGTTTGCCTGAATGATTCGTCGTTGATACGGTGAATCCAATGTAAACCATAAGACAAAGAGTGCAGTGGGTGGAAAAAGAAGCACCAGAACGTTTACTGTTTGTTTTTTTGTAACTAAGATGAACTTTTTGAACCTCTCCGCTACAACGTTTATGTGAAATGCGCTGAGAATCTTCATGGTCTTGATTATCAGGACGGAGATGAACGTAACAAGGACCATTGACTTCCAACAGTAAATCAACCCACACATAAAGTCTGTTGGCTTGACGAGAGATAAAATCGATGCTACAAAGGACATCGTGATTGATAACATAAGGATTGCACTTAACTCGCGATTAGCTGCTTTGACCAGTGGAGTCTTTCGATGTTTATGAAAGATGAAACTGCAACTGGCAATGAGAAGAAATCCAATTGAGCTAAATAGAATCACAAGGACTGACGCCAGGCTTGACCAGCTGACTTCAACTTCTGGAAGATCTAAGCATTTCGACCTCTCTTTATTGGACATTTGTCCTCGAGGGCACTCAGTACAGTTTGCCTCGTTTACTCGTGTACTTATGGCTCCATCTGGACATCTGAGACACTTCCAACAACAGGGAGTAGTAATTGATCGACTTGTACCTGCAGGGCAATCTTCTTGGCAGTATGACTTTGGAAAAAAAGCACTAGTCATAGTATTCCACATGATTTTGCTAACGTTTAAGTGAAGCCTCGGCTTCCGGCTTTTCAACCACGAGCCAATGACCAGTTTTTGTGGATTTGATATGTTAGTAAGCTGATAATGGACGATTTCGTACGACGACGATACAGGGTCTCCCAAATGATCAAAGCTGACCTCACCAGTTAATCCCGAAAACCGAACGAGACGAAGATGCCTCTGGAGATCCTTTGTATCCGTTGGAGAGTGAAGGTCTTCAAGATTCTCACACTTTGATGCGGAGCAGTTTTTCATGTTGTGAAGGGCATGTGCAACAGCATAGACAGCATCCACCACATAGGGAGTGTAGGTCTCGTATAGTCTGTGGACCACTATGTTCTTGCATCGCTTATTTGGATTACTAATTTTCAAACAGTCTTTGTTGTCCTCCGTGAGCCAAAATTCCCTCCACCATGAGACGTTTGGTGACTTTGTTGACCTTTCAATCAAGAAGTTGCCGAAATTGCCACTGTTCATGTCCACATATGGAGGCTGAATACCGAGTGACCCATGAAGAATTGCTTGGTCCTCAGTCTTAAGACTCTTAAACAAATCGGTTTGAGTGGCTAAACCATCGCTAAGAATCCAGGTGCGATTAAACAGCTTCTGCTTTGCTGCTTCCTCAAGAAAATGAACTCCGTAACTGCCAAAAACCCAAAGGACTACGACACCAATGTTTGGGAAGTCCCTGAGCTTCCTTACAATTCTTTTTATCGTTGTATTGTACTCTTTCCGTGGAATAAACTCAACAAAAGAAAGGCAAAACTTTTCCCTCTTTTCAGCCTCGAGTTCTAGACTCCTCATGCCGTTTTTGCCATATGAATCGTCCATTGCCACGGCAGCTACATAATTCCAGTTAAAATACTGTAGAATATCAGCAACAACCCTTACTTGTTGTCCATCCGGTGAAGCGGTGCGGAAAAAATGAAGGAATTGCGAAGAGCTCAATTCGTTGCTTGTTGCTGAGTGACTGATGACGGGAATTCCCCCCACTTGCAAAAGGCTTCCAACCAGAACAGCACTTCCAGAGTCTGTTGGACCAATAACTGCTGCAATAGGCTTTGTCTCCATTGTCTCGTTTTCTACATGTGGAAAAACACATCGAGCGTCATTTCTCCGGACAAAATCGTAAGTTTGCCTCATTGCCTTCTCAGGGCTTTCGCAGTAGTCTCGTATGTCATATCCCAGTTTTATTGTTGGAAGCACGCTCTGATTTCTGTTTATCTCCTCAATAGCGAAAATCATTGCTTCTGCATGACCAAGTCCTTGTGGGAAAAGTTCGCCGCATGCGCCATCATCAGTGGTGTGATGGATGATGAAGAGACCTCCAAGTGTAATGTTACCAGACTGCTGCATACCACTCATTACTTCAATACTGGAAGTGGTAATCAAAACAGGAAACACGGCAAAGCAAAGCAGAACCCAAGTTATCATCATTAGAATTTATTTAATTCCCTGCGAAGGAAGAAAATTTAAAAAAAATTAATGTAGAGAAAATTAGAAAAAAAAAAGGAGCGCTTCGCTCTGCAGTTCAACGGAATATTTGATTAACTTACACATTTATTTCATGAGCGCGGGTTGGATATAAACTCGCAGTAACAATCAGAAAAGTGGCAACGTAATAATCCTTTTGTTATTGCTGTAAAGCAAAACTAATCGCATGAGATACGCATCTCATTACGAAGGGAGGTAAATTATCTTGTTTACTTCCATTTTTCGACCTATTCCACATCATATGACGATCAATTTGGGTGGTTTAATTGTACTGTTCATACATACTCCTTTAACTCAGCTGCAAGTGACAAATTTCTTAATCATGGGTAGCCAGAGGGATTATTTTGTAGGCCGAAATGAGTGGAAATAGTCGAAATCCGCTATTCACAAATTATGATCGGATTATCTACACAAAATACATAATTCTCCAGGCGTAGAAACGTCCAATTTTCAGAAGCAAGTGAAAAATGCTGTTCATATTTGTGCGATACTAGTGAATCCCAGAGAACAGCATGAGCACAAGGAAACAGGACGAAAATATGCCACTGGAAATCGATTAAGCAAATTCAATCCTCCCAGCACTCACATCAAAACCATTGCATTAAAAGAATTTTCATTCTTGTTTTAAGAATATCATCATTATTTGATCAACGGAGAGAGACTTCAGCAGGTGTCAACGACCTATAGATAAAACCATATTTTTGAATATTTTTCTTGTGTTTATTTTCTTTAAGGGTGACCCGTCCGGATGCTTCTAGGATTAACCGTCAGCTTTCGAGTTAAAATTTACATAAGGTTGCGTGTGTGAGTGTGCTGTGTTTGTTGGTTGAAGTGAAATGTAAAACGACATCTGAACGGCATGACTATAGTCAATAATTTAACGACATACGAAGAAGGTAATACGAGCCATGAGATCTGACGCTTACTGATGCATTTATCAAGGGAAATGCAGACTGCTTTTACGAAAGAGTTGGTTGTGTCTCACAAACGGGTCTCATTTATCTTCAATACCCCCTGAGTGGTTTCTCAGTTGTTATCAAATTGATTTTTCTTATCAAAGTTTGAAAAAGGTGGTCGCGTTTATTTGTCTAAGGTTTCACCTAGAGAAAAGAATAGATTTGCCAAAATTCTCCATTGAAACGCATGAGTATTTTGAACATTTGCCTTTTTTTTTCAGCGAGCAATAGATAATGGCGACTTTTATGAAAATAGGATAATGCCTGAGATTCGAACGCAAGGCTTCACTTTCTATGTCAGTTTATGGAAACGCCAATTCATCGGCAGACATTGCATTTGCAGACGACAATCTTCGCTAAACTGCCATGTATCGTGGTGATCACTTTTGATCTACATTTTTCTCTTTTTTTTCCTTTTTCCCTTGTACGGATCGCCTTCGCTCAATGTTCGTTTCAAGGAATCTGTCTTTAAAAATTGTAGATTACAAACCGTCAATTTTTACAGCGTAATTCGTCGCAAATGTTAATGATAAAAATAGCTTTGTAACAGAATATCAGCTGTCTTTCTTACCTTTTGAGTCAGTGCAATGTGTTTTACTTTGAAGTAAAGGTGTAGAACCACCAAATGAGGAACCTCAGCTACCAAAGTTTAGCCGCCGACGGTTAAAACGATAAAGATTAGATATTTAAACAAGTCCTAATAGAAATAATAAGTATTTCCGTGTTCCGGTCTCAAGCTTGACATCATGCATTTTTCATTCTAGCTGCCATGCTGTGTCAGAGTCGCAGTATGATTACAGCTTCTCGATGTTGTTATAAACATTTGTGGTAGAAAATTTGTTTTCTATTATTAGGACCAACCGATGAATAATCAAGTTTGGACGAAATCCGAGGAAATCTGAGACATGCATAGCTCTTTAATCGGCAGCCTACGGCTTTCTGATTTTCAGTCTCCAAAAGCCATTTTTTATTCATTACTTAGCGTCCTAGATACAGTAAATACTGTCATCACAACAGCGCCAGTCTTGCTTCTACTTCATTATTTAATGAAAGATTATCTTTTATTCTATAGATACTGATGAAATACCAGAATTTTTCCTTTTACTAAAAGATTATATCTTCAGCGCACGTAGTGAAAATACTATTTTTATCTTTCGCGTGTTAGGATATTGATGTCGCCATGGTTACCAACATGATTTTTCTTGCTTTTTTTTTTTTGTTTTGTTGGTGTTTTTTTTCAATTTAATTCTTTATTTTTCTCTTCTTCATTAGGATTTTGACGTTTTGGAACAGAAAATATAAGTATTATTGTCTTTATTTCTCCTTTATATCCGAGTTTCATAACATTTTTGTGATAGGCATTTTGCGATAGGTCACCACTTTAATTGCGCTATTTTGCTGTTTCGAAAATGAATAAAAAAAGGTTGTATTTTATGTGGAAATTTCATCAGTATCTATAAAATAAACAGAAAATTACATGCCCGCGCCGGGATACGAATTTATCTTCTCGTGCTGTACGTATCTCTCACTCGGTCGCTTCGCTTACTCGTGAGAGATACGTACAGCACTCGAAGATAAAATTCGTGTCCCCGCGCGGCCATGTGATATCCTCTATTTATTTCTGAACAGGGGCGTGAGACATCTCATTTATGAGGTGCATGTTTGTGGGTATACTTCAATGTTGAGTATTCTAAGTGCAGAACTCCATAGCTACACAAATTTATGTGAAACATGGAGCTAGATATTTCGGAATTTTAACGATTTGGTCTTTTCATGTCACGAAAACAAGGCAGGTGTTTCCAGAGTGAACACTATATCTTATTTTACTGCGATGTTTTTCCCTCAAAGTTTGTTAGGAGAAGACACAATAAATCGTCAATAGGGAGAAAGGCCTAGAAAACATCCGATTAAAGACGTTGTTTACGAATTGTTTCGCTCATTTCACTCATAAGGTAGTATCACCGCTGTAGTTAAAAATAGAGAAAACTTCAGAACGTTCGACAAGATGATTATTTGCATATTCCTGTTTGTCGCTTGACGTCAGTTTAGTAAACATTTGAAAAAGTGATCCATTTTTTAATTTTTTTTACCAGTGGTTTGTCTGAGCCGCTGCAAACTTTGGGCCGCCCTTTCCCATTAATAAGTAATAGTAGAGAAAAATTTGCCCCACGTTTATAACTACGAATCAACAAATTATTTGGAACGAACTCTTACCAGCAGCAAAGGCTTCCTTTTTCAGTCTCCAATATCCATCTGAGGAAGCAATGATACTTAGCTGTTAAATATACTTGGCCCCTTAGTGCCACGAAAATTTATTAGATGTTGTACACAATAAACCCAAATATTAATAACGAATTTTCCTTGTAGCTGGGAAACATTTCGTTCTTAATCAGTGATAAAAAGATAGTGGTTTAGCGAGATACCACCCTCGATGAGATCGTGTTTGTCTTCACCTGTTTGCCAGACGAATTTATGATGTTGGAAATAGGAGTTGTTTGGTTTAGATGACCTGGAATTATGAAACATGTTGTCATTAGCAGGTCTTGAATGGGATCATTACTTGACAACGAAGCGAAACTGTATAACTCGTCTTTCTTGAAAATATTTTAAACACGAAGGCGCGCTATAAAAGGAGCCTTAGGTCCCACTGGACCATTTGTCAATCAACCGTCGTGTGATGTAGAACTCTTAGAGTCAAGTCAGCTTGAGCTACAGCTACTCCAAAGCAGTGAACAGCGGGCGCATTCCTCAAAATTGTTTTATGTCTTCATCACAATACAAGAATTTTTGAGATTTGTATTTCCTTTCTCCAATGGAAACTGTCTTTATTTGTGGCGGTAAATTTGAGATCGAAGTAGGTGGTTCGCACGTTACCTCATGCCACCATGCTGGTGGAAGTAAACAATAGATATCTCATTAGCTCCTTTTGTTCGTCTACCAGCATTTAAATTTGACCCGCACACGTCAACGGTGAGTGACAAATGAGCCTAGGTCTTCCCAGGGAAGACTTCCTTATATAGCGCGCCTTCGTGTTTAAAGAACCTTTTTTCCTTGTCGCGGATAATGTTTTCTAAATGCTTTTTTCCTCTGTGTATGGGACAAATCCATTAGAACTGCGCTTCTGTTTGTAGAAAAGATTGTTTTAAATCTCCCATTTCAAGATCTGGACGCACTGCAACACGTTTGAGCCCAAATTAAGTTAACACTTTGCTTAACGCAAAACACATATTCATTGGTATAAGTATTCTAGAATCTCAAAGTTATTTCTTTCGTTGT